CGAGGTCACCCCACCCCTCCCCCACCCCGGGGTCACCCCCCCGGTCCTTGTGTCCCCACCACGTGTCCCTCAGGTGCCACCACGTCTCTTTGGGGTCCCACCACGTGGTCTTCATGGCCCACCTTGATGTCCCACCATGTCCCCTGGTGCCACCACGTCTTCTGGGGTCCCACCAGGTGTCCCCAGGTGCCACCATGTCCCCAGGTCCCATAGATGTCCCCCAGGTCCCACCACGTCTTCTGGTGTCCCACCATGTGTCCCCAGGTCCCACCACATCTCTTGGGGTCCCACCACGTGGTCTTCATGGCCCACCTTGATGTCCCACCATGTCCCCAGGTCCCATAGATGTCCCCCAGGTCCCACCACGTCTTCTGGTGTCCCACCATGTGTCCCCAGGTCCCACCACATCTCTTGGGGTCCCACCACGTGGTCTTCATGGCCCACCTTGATGTCCCACCATGTCCCCTGGTGCCACCACGTCTTCTGGGGTCCCACCAGGTGTCCCCAGGTGCCACCATGTCCCCAGGTCCCATAGATGTCCCCCAGGTCCCACCACGTCTTCTGGTGTCCCACCATGTGTCCCCAGGTCCCACCACATCTCTTGGGGTCCCACCACGTGGTCTTCATGGCCCACCTTGATGTCCCACCATGTCCCCAGGTGCCACCACATCTTCTGGTGTCCCACCATGTCCCCAGGTCCCACCACGTGTCCCCAGGTGCCACCATGTCCCCAGGTCCCATAGATGTCCCCCAGGTGCCACCACATCTTCTGGTGTCCCACCACGTGTCCCCATGTCCACTGGTGCCACCACGTCCCCCAGGTGCCACCATGTCCCCAGGTCCCATAGATGTCCCCCAGGTCCCACCACGTCTTCTGGTGTCCCACCATGTGTCCCCAGGTCCCACCACATCTCTTGGGGTCCCACCACGTGGTCTTCATGGCCCACCTTGATGTCCCACCATGTCCCCAGGTGCCACCACATCTTCTGGTGTCCCACCATGTCCCCAGGTCCCACCACGTGTCCCCAGGTGCCACCATGTCCCCAGGTCCCATAGATGTCCCCCAGGTGCCACCACATCTTCTGGTGTCCCACCACGTGTCCCCATGTCCACTGGTGCCACCACGTCCCCCAGGTGCCACCATGTCCCCAGGTCCCATAGATGTCCCCCAGGTCCCACCACGTCCCCCCAGGTGCCACCACATCTCCTGGTGTCCCACCAGGTGTCCCCAGGTCCCACCACGTCCCCCCATGATGTCCCAAGGACCCACCACGTGTCCTTCACATCCCACCTTGATGTCCTACCATGTCCCCATGTCCCCAGGTCCCACCACATCTCCTGGTGTCCCACCACGTCCCCAGGTGCCAACACGTGTCCCCAGGTCCCCTCATGTCCCCAGGCCCCACAGATGTCCCCCAGGTGCCACCACATCTTCTGGTGTCCCACCACGTGTCCCCATGTCCACTGGTGCCACCACGTCCCCCAGGTGCCACCATGTCCCCAGGTCCCATAGATGTCCCCCAGGTGCCACCACATCTTCTGGTGTCCCACCACGTGTCCCCATGTCCACTGGTGCCACCACGTCCCCCAGGTGCCACCATGTCCCCAGGTCCCATAGATGTCCCCCAGGTGCCACCACATCTCCTGGGGTCCCACCATGTCCCCAGGTCCCACCAAGTTCCCAGGTGCCACCACGTCTCCTGGGGTCCCACCATGTCCCCCAGGTCCCACCACGTGTCCCCAGGTCCCCCCATGTCTCCTGGGGTCCCACCACGTGTCCTTCACGTCCCACCTTGATGTCCCCACCATGTCCCCAGGTCCCACCACGTGTCCCCAGGTGCCACCACATCTCCTGGTGTCCCACCATGTCCCCAGGCCCCACCATGTCCTCAGGTCCCACCAGGTGCCCCCAGGTCCCATAGATGTCCTCCAGGTGCCACCACATCTTCTGGTGTCCCACCATGTCCCCCAAGTCCCACCATGTCCCCAGGTGCCACCACGTCTTCTGGTGTCCCACCATGTCCCCCAGGTCCCACCACGTGTCCCCAGGTCCCCCCATGTCTCCTGGGGTCCCACCACGTGTCCTTCACGTCCCACCTTGATGTCCCCACCATGTCCCCAGGTCCCACCACGTGTCCCCAGGTGCCACCACATCTCCTGGTGTCCCACCATGTCCCCAGGCCCCACCATGTCCTCAGGTCCCACCAGGTGCCCCCAGGTCCCATAGATGTCCTCCAGGTGCCACCACATCTTCTGGTGTCCCACCATGTCCCCCAAGTCCCACCATGTCCCCAGGTGCCACCACGTCTTCTGGTGTCCCACCATGTCCCCCAGGTCCCACCACGTGTCCCCAGGTCCCCCCATGTCTCCTGAGGTCCCACCACGTGTCCTTCACGTCCCACCTTGATGTCCCCACCATGTCCCCATGTCCCCAGATCCCACCAGGTGCCACCATGTCCCCAGGTCCCCTCATGTCCCCAGGTGCCACCACGTGTCCCCAGGTGCCACCACGTCTCCTGGTGTCCCACCATGTCCCCAGGTCCCATAGATGTCCCCAGGTGCCACCACATCTCCTGGTGTCCCACCACGTGGTCTTCACGGCCCACCTTGATGTCCCACCATGTCCCCAGGTCCCACAGATGTCCCCCAGGTGCCACCACATCTTCTGGTGTCCCACCATGTCCCCAGGTGCCACCACGTGTCCTTCACATCCACCACATCTCCTGGTGTCCCACCATGTCCCCAGGTGCCACCACATGTCCCCCAGGTCCCACCACGTGTCCCCAGGTCCCACCATGTCCCCCAGGTCCCATAGATGTCCTCCAGGTGCCACCACATCTTCTGGTGTCCCACCATGTCCCCAGGTCCCATAGATGTCCCCCAGGTGCCACCACATCCCTCCATGTCCCACCACGTCCCCCAGGTCCCACCACGTCTCCTGGTGTCCCACCATGTCCTCAGGTCCCACCACGTCCCCAGGTCCCACCACATCTCCTGATCTCCCACCACGTGTCCCCAGGTCCCACCACATCTCCTGGTGGCCCACCACAACTGTGTCCCCTCTTCCAACCAGGGCACCAACATCGGGGCCGGCAAAGCCGTGGGCGTGGTGGTGGCCACGGGGGTCAACACGGAGATCGGCAAGATCCGGGACGAGATGGCGGCCACCGAGCAGGAGAAGACCCCCCTCCAGCAGAAGCTGGACGAGTTCGGGGAGCAGCTCTCCAAGGTCATCTCCCTCATCTGCGTGGCCGTGTGGCTCATCAACATCGGCCACTTCAACGACCCCGTCCATGGTGGCTCCTGGATCCGGGGAGCCATCTACTACTTCAAAATCGCCGTGGCCTTGGCGGTGGCCGCCATCCCAGAAGGTGGGTTGTCTTCTTCTGGGTGGTCCCTGGGCTTGGTTTGCTCCCAAAATGGGTCGGGAGGTCCGTACGGGATCTCAGATGGGGTTTGAAGGCCACCGTTGGGCTCGTGGTGGCCATCCGTGATCTCACGTGGCTTTTGAAGACCATCCTTGGTCTCATCTATGGGGTTTGAAGGCCACTGTTGGGCTTGTGGTGGCCATCCGTGATCTCAGATGGCTTTTGAAGGCCACCGTTGGGCTCGTGGTGGCCATCCGTGATCTCACGTGGCTTTTGAAGACCATCCTTGGTCTCATCTATGGGGTTTGAAGGCCACTGTTGGGCTCGTGGTGGCCATCCATGATCTCACATAGCTTTTGAAGACCATCCATGGTCCAATATATGGGTTTTGAAGACCATCCTTGACCCTATATGGGCTTGTGGTGGCCGTCCATGATCTCACGTGGCTTTTGAAGACCATCCGTGGTCCGATATATGGGTTTTGAAGACCATCCTTGATCTCAGATGGCTTTTGAAGACCACTTGTTGGGCTTGTGATGGCCATCCTTGATCTCAGATGGCTTTTGAAGACCATCCGTGGTCTCATACGGCTTCCTAAAGCCCCTTTTTGGATCATAGATGGGCTTCCAACACCCGTCCTTGGTCTTCTATGGTCTTCTGATGGCCACGATGGGTCCACCATGTCCATCCTTGATCTTCTATGGGTCCACCACGTCCATCCTTGGTCCCACCTGCCTTTAAACCCTCTATTTTTGGCCCCCTATGGCCTTCTAACCCCCTTCCTTGGTGGCCCCGTGGACCTCTTCTCCCTTCCGTGGTCCCACGGCGTGGGGCCGGTCACCACGCCGTGGGGCTGAGGTGGCCCCATCTTCTTCACCCTAGGGTTGCCGGCCGTCATCACCACCTGCTTGGCCCTGGGGACAAGACGCATGGCCAAGAAGAACGCCATCGTCCGGAGCTTGCCCTCGGTGGAGACCTTGGGTTGCACCTCCGTCATCTGCTCCGACAAGACCGGCACCCTCACCACCAACCAGATGTCCGTCTGCAAGGTGGGGTGGCCCCCCGAGGTCCCCTTGGGTGGGCTGAGGTCACCTGGGACCTCCTGGTGTCCCCTTGGGTGCTCCAAGGTCCTCCAAGAACCTTGGGTGCTCCAAGGTTCTCCAGGAACCCACCATGACCCTTAGGTCCTCCAAGGTTCTTGAGAGCCCCTTGTGTCCCCCCTGGGTCTCCTGGGACCCCCAGGTGTCCCCTTGGGTGCTCCAAGGTTCTCCAGGAACCCACCATGACCCTTAGGTCCTCCAAGGTTCTTGAGAGCCCCTTGTGTCCCCCCTGGGTCTCCTGGGACCCCCAGGTGTCCCCTTGGGTGCTCCAAGGTTCTCCAGGAACCCACCATGACCCTTAGGTCCTCCAAGGTTCTTGAGAGCCCCTTGTGTCCCCCCTGGGTCTCCTGGGACCCCCAGGTGTCCCCTTGGGTGGTCCAAGGTCCTCCAAGAACCTGTCATGACCCTTGGGTGCTCCAAGGTTCTCCAGGAACCCACCATGACCCTTAGGTCCTCCAAGGTTCTTGAGAGCACCTTGTGTCCCCCCTGGGTCTCCTGGGACCCCCAGGTGTCCCCTTGGGTGGTCCAAGGTCCTCCAAGACCCCTCATGTCCCCTTGGGTGGTCTGAGGTCCTCCAAGACCCCATGGTGACCCTTGGGTGCTCCAAGGTTCTCCAGGAACCCACCATGACCCTTAGGTCCTCCAAGGTTCTTGAGAGCACCTTGTGTCCCCCGTGGGTGGTCCAGGGTCTCCTGGGACCCCCTGGTGTCCCCTTGGGTGGGCTGAGGTCACCTGGGACCTCCTGGTGTCCCCTTGGGTGGTCCGAGGTCCTCCAAGAACCTGTCATGACCCTTGGGTGCTCCAAGGTTCTCCAGGAACCCACCATGACCCTTAGGTCCTCCAAGGTTCTTGAGAGCACCTTGTGTCCCCGTGGGTGGTCCAGGGTCTCCTGGGACCCCCTGGTGTCCCTTTGGGTGGTCTGAGGTCTGAGGTCCTCCAAGACCCCATGGTGACCCTTGGGTGGTCCAAGGTCCTCCAAGACCCCTCATGTCCCCTTGGGTGGTCTGAGGTCCTCCAAGACCCCATGGTGACCCTTGGGTGTTCCAAGGTCCTCCAAGAACCCATCATGACCCTCGGGTGGTCCAGGGTCTCCTGGGACCCCCTGGTGTCCCCTTGGGTGGGTGAGGTCCTCCAAGACCCCTGGTGTCCCCTTGGGTGCCCCAAGGTCCTCCAGGTCCCCCTGGGTGCCCCGATGTCCCCAAGGACCCCTTGATGTCCCCAAGAACCCCTCAATGTCCCCTTGGGTGCCTCCATGGGGACCCCCTGGTGTCCCCTTGGGTGGGCTGAGGTTCTCCAAGACCCTTCATGTCCCCTTGGGTGGTCCAAGGTCCTCCAAGAACCTGTCATGACCCTTGGGTGCTCCAAGGTTCTCCAGGAACCCACCATGACCCTTGGGTGGTCCAGGGTCTCCTGGGACCCCTCTCGTGTCCCCTTGGGTGGTCTGAGGTCCTCCAAGAACCCCTGGTGTCCCCTTGGGTGCCCCAAGGTCCTCCAGGTCCCCCTGGGTGCCCCGATGTCCCCAAGGACTCCTTGGTGTCCCCTTGGGCGCCTCCACCTTCTCAAGAACCTCCTGGGTGCCCCACTCTTCTCCTGGACCCCTCCATGTCCCCATGGGTTCTCCAAGGTCCCTATGGGTGCCCCGATGTCCCCAAGAACCCCTTGATGTCCCCTTGGGTTCCCCAAGGTCCTCCAGGTCCCCCTGGGTGCCCCAATGTCCCCAAGGACCCCTTGATGTCCCCAAGGACCCCCTGGTGTCCCCAAGGACTCCTTGGTGTCCCCTTGGGCGCCTCCACCTTCTCAAGAACCTCCTGGGTGCCCCACTCTTCTCCTGGACCCCTTGATGTCCCCATGGGTTCTCCAAGGTCCCTATGGGTGCCCCGATGTCCCCAAGGACCCCTTGAGGTCCCCTTGGGTTCCCCAAGGTCCTCCAGGTCCCCCTGGGTGCCCCGATGTCCCCAAGAACCCCTTGATGTCCCCAAGAACCCCTTGATGTCCCCAAGGACTCCTTGGTGTCCCCTTGGGCGCCTCCACCTTCTCAAGAACCTCCCGGGTGCCCCACTCTTCTCCTGGACCCCTCCATGTCCCCATGGGTTCTCCAAGGTCCCTATGGGTGCCCCAATGTCCCCATGGGTGCCCCGATGTCCCCTTTGGTGTCCCCCAACCCCGTGTCTTCTCTCTCCAGATGTTCATCGTGGACAAGGTGGAAGGTGACGTCTGCTCCCTCAACGAGTTCTCCATCACCGGCTCCACCTACGCCCCCGAGGGGGACGTGTGAGTGACACGGGGAGGGGACAATCGGGGCCACCTCCTGGTGGCACCTCCTGGAGGTCCCTTGTGTCCCCGGCCCTCAACGGGGCCGGGAAGGACCTTCCTTGGAGGTCCCTGGTGGTGGCCACCCTGGGGGGGAGGAGGGGGGCGTTGGGGACCTCAGGGGGTTCTTGGGGACATTGGGCCACCAAGGGGACATCAAGGGGTCCTTGGGGACATCAGGGGGTCCTTGGGGACGTTGGGTCACCCATGGGACCCTCAGGAGGTTCTGGAGAACATCAGGGGCCACCCAGTGAGATCTCCTGAGGAGACCTTGGGCCACCCAAGGGGGGACCTCAGAGGGGCCTTGGGGACATCGGGGGGTTCTTGGAGACATTGGGCCACCAAGGGGACATCAAGGGGTCCTTGGGGACATCAGGGGGACATTGGGGACGTTGGGTCACCCATGGGACCCTCAGGAGGTTCTGGAGAACATCAGGGGCCACCCAGTGAGATCTCCTGAGGAGACCTTGGGCCACCCAAGGGGGGACCTCAGAGGGGCCTTGGGGACATCGGGGGGTTCTTGGAGACATTGGGCCACCGAGGGGACATCAAGGGGTCCTTGGGGACATCAGGGGGACATTGGGGACGTTGGGTCACCCATGGGACCCTCAGGAGGTTCTGGAGAACATCAGGGGCCACCCAGTGAGATCTCCTGAGGAGACCTTGGGCCACCCAAGGGGGGACCTCAGAGGGGCCTTGGGGACATCGGGGGGTTCTTGGAGACATTGGGCCACCGAGGGGACATCAAGGGGTCCTTGGGGACATCAGGGGGACATTGGGGACGTTGGGGCACCCATGGGACCCTCAGGAGGTTCTGGAGAACATCAGGGGCCACCCAGTGAGATCTCCTGAGGAGATCTTGGGCCACCCAAAGGGGGGACCTCAGGGGGTTCTTGGGGACGTTGGGCCACCAAGGGGACATCAAGGGGTCCTTGGGGACATCTTGGGGACGTTGGGTCACCCATGGGGCCCTCAGGAGGTTCTGGAGAACATCGGGGGCCACCCAGTGAGATCTCCTGAGGAGACCTTGGGCCACCCAAGGGGGGACCTCAGAGGGGCCTTGGGGACATCGGGGGGTTCTTGGAGACATTGGGCCACCGAGGGGACATCAAGGGGTCCTTGGGGACATCAGGGGGACATTGGGGATGTTGGGTCACCCATGGGACCCTCAGGAGGTTCTGGAGAACATCAGGGGCCACCCAGTGAGATCTCCTGAGGAGACCTTGGGCCACCCAAGGGGGGACCTCAG